ACAAAATTCTTTGTTATTTAAGACATTTTGCCGTAATCAATCCTGAAATTGTAGTGAAAAAAGTTCTAACAGTCATTTCTTCAGCTTTCTTTGCAAAACCACAATGAGTTAGTTGAAAATGGTGTCTTCTTTCTCTATTTTATTGGTCATTTAACTAATTCATTTGTAACAATGTACAACAGCCATAAATAATATCTTTGAAATGAAAGGAAAATGAAGATCCACCTATGCGCAATATTGAATGCATCACCGCTTTTCGCGTTCTTCCACAAACTCAATTATTTTTCTACATTTTTTTTTTGTTTTCCATCAGATAGGAGCGAAAGACTATGCTACATTTTCAATTAAGCATTAAACATTGTTTTCATATATATATTTTGGTTTTAGCTTTTCCTTTAGTCTAATGTCTTGTCTAACCGAAGACTTGTGGCCGTGTTGAGTTTGTACCGTGGAGAAAAGGAAGCTTTCGCTACCAAAACCCGGTGATCTTTATTTAATAAACCCTTTTAATAACAAAGTTTGACCCCTGTAAAACAATATACGTAATCGCACTAGAAATATATAGTTATATTTTATATATTAAGACATATTTTATTCATAAATACTAGTTTATAAAGAGCCAACAAAATGTACTCATACTATGGTCCAACACTAACCTATAAATCAACATTTATTAAATGTAATTTTAACAAAAAGGAAGATTCACAAATTTTTTGCTATAATTTAGGTTAACGAGTGGTTTAATGCCCTCCACCATCCGCCGTATGAATAATGCATGTATGTATATACAATAATCATACTTTCTCTCACCGCGATAGTATTTCTTATAGTAAAACAAAATATACATTTATTGTGGGTAGGGGAGAGCAATAAACGTTTTGAATATTATAAAACTGGTACTCCACTATTTACGAAATATGTAGCTTGGGGACACTTTAGACTATATATATAGCAATGTGATCCAAGGCCAAACTCCTCTCAAAAACACACACACAGTACTCAACATTACTATCATATATATCTATACACACACAAAACAGATATTTAGAGGAAGATGCATATGCATGCAAATCTCGAGTGTAGTAAGGAAGTAGCTGTAAAGCTCAGGAGGGATAGCGCCATAATTCACGAGTTTGTGTATACGTACGTATCGGCGCTATCCATTCTGAGTTCCATGGCTTCTTCTTGCTTTTAGGTGCATGTCCGATTTCATTCCATGCTTTCGTTTAGCATCTACAAATTGTAAGGAAATAATGGTAATACTGGTAAGGTTAACCATTTTTTGTGTATTTTACACCTTTTTTTGTTAGGAAGGAAACATACATTAAATTTCAGATGATAAAAATTAACAAAGACTAAAATTCATATCGTACAGAAGTTATGCAGAAAGTGGACAAATAAATCACATGTATTGGTCTTTCAAAATTTGGATTTTAACTTGTAAAGGCCAATTTGATCTTAAGAACACATATTTGTAAAATAGTATGGTCTTACAAGAAAAACGGATTTTAAATAGTTATCCACTTCGACCAAAAAACAAAAATAGTTATCCACTTACTTAGAATTATATTGTAATAGGTTAATTATAAAGAATCCTCTAGAATGTGAATTACAGGCTCTGATTTTTGCGATGCAAAATGCTTGGTGCAAAGGTTTTCAGAAAATTGTTTTCGAAAGAGATAATAATAGTATCGTAAGGCTCATTGATGGTTCTTCTCTCAATTTTGGAGCTCTTAATTGGATTTGAAAAATTTGTATGTGGACGAACAAATTTACAGAAATCAAGCTGCAATGGACGAGGGAGTTTAATAAACTTGCAGATCATCTTGCAAAGCACTTGTTTACTCAAAATCTTTTTTTTTCAAATATTTCTCATATGTACCTATATTCATTTCTCATGTAATTCATGATGACTATGTAAACTCTTTTTAGTATTAACTCATTGAGAAGTTACAAAAAGAAAAAGAAAAAAAAAGTTGTAGAATTTGTATCCGAGTGACTACAGTCCACCGCTCTATTGTCCCAATATGTGTTTGTATGTATCATTCATTGTATGTGTGAGAGAAAGTACCATCGCCATGTGCTAGATGGAGTCAACCAGAACGATTCTTGTCGAATTTGAAAAAAAAAAATCACGAAAAACTTTTTTGCCCACTGAAAAACTTTTAAGACCCAAATTATATTTTCAGATAAGAGTGGGCATTTGGTTATTTGGTTCGGTATGAATTTTGTAGGGTTTCAAAATTCTTTGATTATGGAATCGGGTACTGTTCGGATACAAAATTTAGTTCGACTCCTTCGGTCTCGGTTTAAAAGATTTTGGCTTCATCCGAATTCGGATTCGGTTTGAGTTATGTTGTATTTTGGACAAAAACTTAATGACAAACGTTGACACACATAACTAATTATAATTGATAATTTGATACTAAAGTGTTTTTGGTATCTTTGACTATACTATAACTGATATATATAAAAGTACTAGGTCTAAGCAAAAAATCCGTTAA